GAGAGAGAGAGAGGGATATAGTCTTTAGATTCCCTTGAATTTCTCAATTTAGTCGGCGAAAAAATTTCGCCGTATTACAAAATTGTAAGAGCAAGATGGAAAGTATATCAAAGTGTAAATACAAAATTTTCGTATCATATCGTTACTTTGTCGTTCTTTTTACTATTACAAGATATACGAATAAACGTTATTGTCACAAAGTAACAGAAATTGCGTTAACTTAAATTACATTGAGTTAGCTCAAAGTATAATGAGCTAGATGAGTTATGAATTTGACAAAAACGAGATAACAATGTATAGAAAATTTGTAGAGAGAGAACTGTTTAGATTTCCCTTGAATTTTTCAATTTTTTTATTACAAAATTTTAAGAGCAAGACGGAAGATATATCAAAGTATAAATACAAAATTTTTGTTATATCGTTTTTATTGTCACAAAGTAACAATAAGAAATTGTGATAACTTAATTTAAATTACACTTTGAGTTAGCTCAAAGTATAATGAGCTAGTTATGAATTTGATAAAAACAAGGTTAAGAATTTGTAGGAAATTTTTCAATTCTTTTATTACAAAATTTTAAGAGCAAGATGGAAGATATGTCAAAGTATAAATATAACAAAGTTTTTGTTATATCGTTTGCCATTCTTTTTTCCTTTTTATTATAAGGTACACGAATAAACTCTATTGTCACAAAGTAACAATAAGAAATTGTGATAACTTAATTCAAATTACACTTCGAGTTAGCTCAAAGTATAGTAACGAGCCAGACGAGTTATGAATTTGAGAAAAACAAGGTCTTTAGATTTGAATTTTTCAATTTGGCAAAAAAAAAAAAAATGGCGAGGGGAATCGCGGTGACAATCGACGATCACGGGGAAGCATCATCTCGTCGCCGGGAGAAAAAAACTTGGCTCTCGTGTCGACGGTGAAAAAGCGGAGAGCATTCGTTAAAGCGACCGAAAATTAAATTCCGCGTTATTGATGACCAATGCCCCTATAAATCAAACTAACTGACAAAAAAGTGCTCGGCCGCGTCCATTCTCCTCCCTCCTCCTCCTCCTCCTCCTCCTCCTCTCCCCTGCCCCCTAAAGTTTCCATTTAACGGGTGAAACGGTGGATGGTCGATATCGGTGTCGGCGAATCGGATATCACAGTGGTAAACACAAAGTTTCCCCGCCTCGATAAACGCGACACGCGTGTAACACACCGGGAATTTTCACCGGTTATCGAGGTGATAAAAATTACGAGGCGCGTTGTGGAACACTCGTTGTCGAATATCGCGCCACTTTCTTTCTTCTTCTTTTTTTTTTTTTTTTTTTTTTTTTTATTAACCTTCATCCCGAATCACACACGATGTTTTTTGGAAAATATAGAAAAGAGGGAGAATTAGGATAGAATAGGAAAAAATGTATGTTTCGAAAGGAGGAGCGAAGAATTTTCCGATGGTGACAACGATAAAATCAGGGACTCGAATCTCTTAGGATTAGGGATCGCAACTGTGCCATTTCGACGACTCTTGGCAACGATTCGCGATGAAATCGGCTTACAGAACGGGGACGTTGAACCTCGTACAAGTGTGTTCTGGATCCGCTTCCAGGATCGGTGAAAATGTAAAATTCGTAACGCTTCCGTCTATCTTGCGCGATCGAATAGTTTTTCCGTCCCCTTTCCTTAACCCTTTCGCGAACAAACGATGCCACGAATCGAAGTTGAATTAGATTGAATTGAACGCTGAAAATCTATTTATCGAAGTGGAGGAAAAACGAAAAATTCTACGCATCCAGAATTAGCTTAAATCGGTGAATATCGTTCAAGGATGAACCGTCTTGGCGAATAGATGTTGTGCAGGGGCGGAACACAGAAATGGAAGAAAAGCTGAAGCGTCCTTGAAGCACAAGAGGTATACGTTCAAAGATGTACATAGCTCGATAGACAGAGGATTTCTAGTGGCAAACAATCGCGATTCGAGCCGTCCTGCTCGTCGTTTTGTATTCGGCCAACACGAGTGCTTGTCGTTGTGCCATTCCAATAACGTTTTTCAAATCAATATTCATTAGGGATCGAGTGTTGTTCGATACTATTGTGGCGACTTCGATTATCACGAGATGTAAGTAGAGGTAGGAACGATAATAATAAATTTGATGTAATAAATTTAACAAATTTAACTACTCAAAAAACACTGACGCATATGTACGTATAAAATAATTTATTTTATTTTATTAATCGCTGCTTTCAAAGTATAAAGAGATTAATTACAATCAGTGATGGGGAAAATTTAATAGTTGAAGTTACTAATAATGATACTTGCACGAGTTATTTTAATAATTTATTGTTCAAAATTGTTCGTAATAATAATCGCAAATAATTGTAATACCGAACGAGGTTATACGAGAAGCGAATCAATTATAATAGGATAAATGGTACTCGAGCATTTTAATAAGTAATTAACTTAAAGTAATTAATTATTCGAAACTTTCAACTAGTTACTTTTTCAATGGGTTAATGCCCAGCTCTGGTTACAATTATAATAGCTACGAATAAATGTTACTTGAGCGTTTTAATAATTACTTAAAGCAATTTTACTCCATCTTACTTTTTCGATTTAATTAAATGCCCAACTCTGGTTACAACTGCAATTATTGTAGAACAATTGTATCAGCTTATAATTTTAGTAAACAATTGCTTAACTTTATACGAGATTGTTAAGTAGTTATTTTTTTCAATTTGAACTCTGCAATTATT